AAGAAGTTGAGAGATCGTTTTATGTTCATACTGATGTGTATATTATTAAAATAACGATTGATTTTGTACATTTGGGCTCAGTTTTTCAGTTTCTGGTTAACTGTTAACCAGAGGTTAGTCTACTCTCCATCTTTCTTTTTGTATTATTATCTAAGAAGAGAATCGACTAACTTCTGGTTAACAGTTACCCAGAAAATGAAAAACCAGGGCTTAAAGTTAGCATTTAAAATCAATTGATTCTACAATATATTTTGTGTTCCTAATGTTCTCAAAACTCATTCAAGAACAGCTAAGATCTATAGTATTAAGCTTTTATTGCGTGAGATCACTTTTGATCACTAGACAAAATCACATTGTTTAATAATTATTTAGATATGTATTTACCCAGAATAATTAAATTCATTAATAATTTAATTGACAATTAACTCTAATACAATTAATATAATTCTATTATTATTATGTCATTGTCCAGTTAATTATCTATTCTATATTTACTTATGCGATGTATCTCTCGTTATCCAAGAAGCACACGGTAAATCGCGCTCGCAATCAGACATAACTTCCCTTGACTTTTGGGACACGTTACACTTGTCCACGAAAATAATACGCTCTTGACACGCGACATAAAGAATACTTTTCCAGAAGCGAATATCTCTCTAACCCGCCCCTCAACGTTGCTCGGTGCAACCGCTAGCACAAGATCGTGTTTTTATCCAGCTATCTCCTCCTCGTGTCTCCACATCGCTGTTCACGACTCGTATAAATCATGATGAATGAGAAAACAAGCAGCGCGCATCGTACTTGAAAACATCCCCCGCGATATTCCCATCTTTCCTTCTCCATTCCTTCCCTCTCTCTCTCTCTCTCTTTCTCTCTTCTCCCTGTCTCTTTCTCTTTCGACTCTCGGTACTAATTTCAACAAAAGGACCACTACTGCACACGGTGGATTCTACCGGGCGTGGAAAATGGAAAACACACCGCGCAAACACGATCCGCCTCCGCCGTCCGAAACACGTTGGCGGGTGGATTTTGCCGATGAAGGGTGGCAGTCGCTGTGGGGTGAGACACCGGGACGGTTCGCCCCCATTTCGCCTACGAGCTTTCCAGCCTCCCCGGAGCCGGGCGCCGCGTCGGTCGACGAGGGTCGATGATAGTGTGGCGATTCACGGATGAATGTCGCCCGAGTTATAATTGCAACGAGCCGTAATTAGTTTTGGAAATTTAATTATTTCTGGGCCGCGCGATAAATGCCGGCGGCTGCCGTCCCGTACCATGAAAGCCTCGCGGCGAAGAATTATTTGACGATTTCGCAGCCGCGTAACGTACGCGTTAATCTCACTTCGCCCCGTGATTTTCAACGTCGGGATGGAGGTGGTCCTGTAATTGGGAATCGTTGGCCCACGTTTCGCTGAATGGACATTGCATTTTACTTTACAGCTGCTAACTGCCGGTGATTTATGTAAGCTTGTCGTTTCTTGCACGTAGAGGAAAGTCCTCTGTTATGAAATAGGATCCTTATATGGGATAGCGAAGTTTCTGTTAAATTAATAGACATCGTCAGTTGATTCAACCATGGATTTATTACCCTTGGAGCGAAATCGAATTAGTGGAAAATTCATTGTTAGATTGTGTAATCCGAAGGGTAAACCGCTTGTACAGATTTGCGGCATTACTGCGCATTTTTTGGGCATTAGGCCTTGCTGGAGCATTCACTGAGAAAAATGTCCGATTAAATATAATCGAATAATCCAATTACATGATAACAAACGGATATATCCGATTAAATTGTATATCCGATGAAAAATTTGATCGGTTTTTCAATCAAATTTCATCGGTAATTGCATTTCATCGGATAAATTTCATACGATATATCTATAATTTAATCGGAAAACGTAATCGGAAAAATTAACCATCGGACATACTATTTAATTGGCTTATCCGATGAAAATTTTTCTCAGTGTTATAAAGATAGAATAAAGTGAAATAAGATAAAACAAGATAAAATAACTGTGTGGAATTGAAACACTGTTGCAACGGCATATTTCTGAGACAAAATCATGTCCTGCAAAAAAGTCCTGCACTATTTTTCCCTCCGACAAACAGTTATCGAGATATAATAAGCTTAACATTGAAAAAGTTAACATTTTCTCTTGAATATCTCAAAAAGTATTAGGCAAATCGAAACATGTTTCAGGCAAAAGTTATTCATATTAATTAGTAGAATAAGATAGTATAATAAACAATAGGGGATTCCATTTAAAAAATTTAAAGTGACCTTTACGTGACCTTCAAACAACTCGTCAAGGTCAAACTAATGGCACCATCTTATGTCCCCCATCGAACCGAACAACTTTTGTCTGAAATGTTTTTTTCTGCGATTAAAAATAAAAAAGTTATTTGGCGTAGGACATTAAATTGGGACACCCTGTATAAGGACACGTCTTATTAAACGAGTTCTCGCGCGATAACGTTGTCGTGGTTTCCTAATATATTTCAAGTATATCATAAATATTACAAATATCGAATCGCTTTTATTAAACAAGTATTTGCAATCCGCAAATTTATTGAAGACGTAATCACCAGTAAATGGACTTTCGTAATATTTTAATTTAATACACATTTTGCATTTCGTTTAATACCAATTGTAAGCGCGCAATATTTTTATTTAACTAAACGACCAAGCCGCGAATTTTTTATCTAGCTGTCCCGACGCCGTAAATCGTCGGAACGAATCCACTCGATCTTTAAAATCGCGATTTTGCAATACCGCCCGAAGGCTGCTGCTCTCTCCATTAGCGATATGAATTCCCGCGTTATACACATGCCGCCCGTGTCGATGTGTGCGTACAAAGTAAAAGTTAATTGAACCCGCGGCACGCAGTCAGACATGTTTACACTGCTATTTATCTCCTCGTCCGCAGAATTTTTGCCATTTCCGTTAGAATAATTGCGACTGAATAGAGACTCGATTTAGCGATAGTCACGCGATGAGTCACCCTCGGTGCCGTTATTCACACTTTTACGTACCAGGGCCTTTAATTGCACATTTGTCCCGAGGTGCGAACGAGCTGTGTAACTCACAGTGCATGCAACAGAGCGAATGCAAAGAACTTGGTCCGCTAGGTCTTGCATTATGCCTTCGTACGAGTCTCAAGTACGTATGTGCATGTTACGTTGCAATATATGTGCATTGCGAAACGGAAAGTGTCAATAAATCTCGATATTAGTTGAGGTTTCTATCGCAAGGAGTTTAATATCGTTTGTCCCTTCTTATCGCTTGTCGATGCATTGAAAACTAGACAGTTATTATTATACAAATCGTGGAATTAACTTTGCGCACAAGTACCCGCGATAATTAATGACAGGTGCTTATGTTTCTACGCGGTTTCGAAATTTTATTATACGGAGCCAGCGAAATAAAAACATTCGCTCGCGAACGCGTTGTTTTACATGGGTTTTTTATTATAGCCAATTTCATCGCGAATATTTTATATTTTATTTATATTTTAATATTTCGTGAAATACCCCCCGCGTGTGTAATTAAACTTTGAAAGATTAAACGATAGCATTTCGATCATTAATGAATGGCAATGTACCTAACGATTTAACAATCAACGTTCGACGTCGCCTTTGTTTTAATTAATTACAACATACATTTCACCCCGTCGTGCGGATGACATATATGGTCGCGCATTCAATCGCGCTTATTAAAAATGAAGCGCCTATTTGCAAAGGAATGTTTGACAAGGTCTAAGCGCGAGCCAGCATTGGCACATTCGTTATCGCCGTCGTTATACACGGCTGTCGATTGCGTTTTTAGAAATTAATGCCCGCGTTCTCTCGCGGCTTGCGCTCAGCGCTCATTGTTTTGTATTTTAAGGGCCACGCGCACGCGACGCTGTTAAAAGTTTATCCATACGCGAGCCGCGCAAATATTAAAACGGCATTTCACTTCTCTTCCTACCGAATCTTTCCGTCGCCATTATGCTTTTGTAATCTATCGTGCTTTCGAATTTCGAAGAAACGATAAAAGTTAATCTATTAAAAGTTAAGGGAGAAACAAGATTTTGTTATTGATCAAAAAGAATGAGAGTATTCATTTTTATTTTTAACAACACAAACGAGATAGCAAGTTAATAATCCTTTTATCATCGATAATAACTGTTTGTACAATTTTAATTGTGTTTGCAATTTTTTGTTTGACACTTGTTTTATTACAGTCTGAATTAGAAAGTTTCATATCTGCGAAGTATATTCTCAATGATAATTGTTACCACCATCTGTGTTTTTGATTTTCACAAAGTACGTTGAATAACACCGGTACAAAATGATATTTTAATAGGGCGCAACGCGATGTTTTAAGAATTATCGCTCCGCGTAATTTTCGTCTTTATTAGGAGCAGACGCGCAGATTCTAAGGCTGAATGCGGGCGACGTTCTCAAAAATTTATAAGACACCTCCAGTCGCACCCTCTCGGCGACTTTTCAAGCAAATCCTCACAAAAGCTGTCTCCCTCCTAAATTGTTGTCCGGTCCTTTGCTCGCGTGTCGCACCCTCGAAACCCACCCTTCCCCGTACCCACGGTTTATGAATCTTTTAAGAACGCATCGAGGTACTGAAAACCGACGGCGTCTTTGTTCGACGAGTTCGTTTACTCGTTACCAAATGTCTGGAATATGTTAAGAGTATGATAAATTATTAAAGTCACGCAAAACACGCACACGCACACACACACAAAATGCATTATAGTTCGAACTTGCGAGTGTGAAATTTTACATACATTGCTATGAATAAAATATCCGATCGCAAGAAAGTTTGACAGAAACGATCGATACCGCTAACTCTTGATTTTTTACATCAATATTTAATCGTTAAAATGGATTAAATCGTAAGGTAAAATGTTTGACGTCGCACACAATATTCTTACCGAAAGAAGACAAGTCTTCTAAGCCTCTTTAAATATTCGTAAAGCTAACGAGGCTGTCTCGTTATGTTTCAGCGATCATGGCGCACTTCTTCTTCCTGGCTGCTTTCTTCTGGCTGAACACGATGTGCTTCAACATCTGGTGGACGTTTAGGTGAGTCGTGATTTACTTCCCGTCATTGCTCCGTTTTCAGGAAAGAAAACACGTTCCTTCAACCATGAAATGCATACTTATGCTGCACTTACGCGCGATCCGTTATTTAGTAACGAGCATTACAAAGCATAGTTGTGAAAGATTGTCAGGCAGGCAGCCGGAGAGGTATCTGACTTCGTATCACAAATATCTGAAACTTCGGGACTGACAGTGCTCGATACTTTGAAGGGTCGTAAAATTGCGCCACTGCCTTCGGAGAGTAACCGGAATTTGCGGAATGCCGTTATACCTGGCGACGTTATCGATAAAAATGTTGAAAAACAACGGGGAGGAAAAAAAATACTTTAGAGCAGTACGGACATTCCAGTCGGCGATCTGTTGCATAATAGAATACCGTACAGGTCACTGACGCGTGTATCGTTGAGTAAAACGAGGCAGTTAAACGTTGAAACAATAGCCAATTCCTACGTACGATTCGAAAGGCATTCCGAATTATCGGGAGATCGGCGCGAATTGCGAGGGAAAATCTAGGAAGAGCGAGACACGATAGATATTTATCTCGTAAACGAGTAAAATGGGGATTCATCGATTTCGACCGGTTCGACTAGCGCGCGTCGCTTTTATTCCTAGAATAACAAAATACCCAATTATTCCGACGAATATCGATGCGCAATAATGGCGGAATAAATTCTAATTAACGTGTCGCCTCATTACGATCCGGAATAATTATACAATGCGGATAAATCGTCCGTAGGCAAACGAACGATTATAATAATTGAACTAAATTTCAGGGGAATTCTGTACGTTTCTTGCCTACGGCTCGCTGTGGCTAATTAAAGACCGTTCATCCATACGTAATTATAAAAAAAAACATTGAGTCGGGCGAGAGAACAAATCACAAATGCAATTTTATCCTCATTTGCGATGACATCATTCGCATAATCACTGGAGAATCGTAACAGAATACATAAAATCGTTCTCATGAGATTCACGCAATAAAATTCATTGACCGACATTTCCGCGAAATATTTCGAAACAAAAGCACATGTTGTGGCTTTTGCTAAATTTTCGCTTTTTAACGAAAACGAAGCTTCCTCTGCGAGGAAGCGACAAAAAGTGATTAACCATTGATTGTTGATATAAAAGATAACACACGATTCACAAATGAAAACCGCGGACAATTAATGGGCCAAAAGAGTAAAGCGTTTTTCGCGAACCGCTGTCCCGCCAAGAGTAATAAATTCTTATTTTATCCTATAAATTATGCATGCAAGAAATTTAAAAGTGTAAACAGCATCTTTTTTAAGAGTTAATATATATCGTAGGATTTAGTACAGGATGAAAACTTCTATGCACACATTTCACATAGGTCTTGCGCAACTACTTGGTAATTTTCATTCAAAATATTGAATCTTTAAATAAACTTCAAACAAGGTTTAAATGAGCCTTAGATAAACGGATTACAAACGTAATTATGCATCGTGACCGAAAGATACACAAGTACTGTAATCACTTGCAAGTAGATTGCTGTCACGATGAAAGCTTTGCTCGTTGGGAGAACCGAATGCACGAGAGATTGGATCAGGATCACTCGGTCGACTGGTTAATGCGATGCAACACGGTCACTATAACGGGTCTCTTCCTCGTCTCGTTCCCGGCACTCGTGGTCCCACTCTTTTTTCCGTTTTGTTTCTTTTTCGCCTGTCCCCCCCTTGTCTCGTTTCTCATCGTGTTTCTTCGCGCGCTATTTTCATCGGAACCTTTTCTCGATCGAGTACTTATCCATCATCTGCAGCTCGCCACGCGTGATTATCTACGTTCGCAGTTGGACGTGTCGATTTATGACGCCCGAAGTAAATTGGTAACATCTTCGGTCTACGTGGAGTCGTAATGCAAGGATTTGGAAAAATTCGCGCGCGATCGATTTTTTTTATTGATTCTCAATTTCGTACTTTATAAGATTGAATAGATTCATGAGTAAAGTCGGTTTTGCAGTAACAATTTTCAAATAATATCTAATATATTTAAAATATTTAGTAATAGTTGTTTCGATGCATCAAAGGAAAAGCATATTTTTACAATCTTATATTGATCGAATGAAAATTTGAAGATAAAGGAATAAAAATCAAAAACATTTTCAGTGTCATATATCATTGTCAGGTAGTAAATTTTGTTTAGTGATTTCTTCTATTTTTTTCCCATGCAAGGATTGTGCGAGAACTCGAAAAGTTGAAAAACTAAATTCTAAAAGCAACGGGACATAGCCTCATTTTATTCTAATAAAACTTATAATTTGTTAATTAACATAGAAACGTAGTTTAAAAGAAAAGTTTATGGCTGTTGGTTTTATAATATTATCCACGTGCAGCATCCGAATCGCGTGAATTCGGGAAGGAAATATATTTTTGCCATATACGATACATAATTCAACAAAATTTGCGTAAGACACACCGTATTCTCACATTTAATTACACCGGGCTGGTTTCTGCCTGCACACAATGTTACAAAGGAAATGTTACAACGCGAAATTTCGAGTCCAGTTGCGGCGAAAGCACGGAAGCGGCAAAAAGTACGCGTTAACGCGACACGTCCCTTCTTAAGAATCGTTTCCGTAATATCGCGTTTTGAAATCGTGCGATATTTTCGTAATATATCTCGGGACCGTTTGAAACTTCGCATCGCCTCTAACTGTAACGGAGACAAACTCGCGCGACAGTGATACACCGGTAGGCGCTAACTAGCCGCGCATAACTAACGGCATCCCTGACTTTTCGCGAATCGGTGTGTGACGTGGGTAGCAGCTAAAAATATTTAAACGCGCGCGGTAAGCCGCGGTAAGTATTTGTATCAACGTCCCTGACTTTTCATGACCAATGCGGTTCGATGAACTTGCACTCTCGCGTCGTTCACACTTTTTCTCTCGCCTCTCTCTCTCTCTTTCTCTCTTGCGCGCGCGCGCTTACACACGCACGCAAACGCACACATGTCAAAACTGTCGGCGACACGTGCGCGTGTATCCACTTGTTGAAGTGTCAGCGGCACGTTGCGCGTTCACGGTGGCTGCCTCGTGTGCCCCGTGATTTTCGAGCTGGAAAATTATCCTGATGTCATTTGCGGCTGCATGCGCGCGCGCGCGCGCGTTTCTGCACGGTCGTTGCACCGACCACCACTGTTGCACATTGCCGATGATCTCTTTTTTTCTTACGGTCTGTCGACTCGCTACTGTCGGCGATGTTCGCCTATCGCTTCGCTCGTCACCGAATTAACGCGTTATGCCATACGAGATGTTATTGCTCGACAAAGCGAATGCCGCGAACCCTCGCAGATTTCGGGTGGAAAAGTTCGCGAACGCATGGACAATTCCGAGACGAGAATAATAATCTATTCCGGTGCGTGCTAACTTTTTACTTTTAAGGCCCGGTTTTTCATTTTCTGGTTAACTATTGACCGAAAGTCCGTCGACTCTCCATCCTCTTCTGTATTATCTGAGAAGAGACAGAGAGTCGACTAACCTCTGGTTAACAATTAACCAGAAGATTAAAAACCAGGCCTGAGAGAGAAAGCGGGAGAGAAAATAACCAACGACGACGACGAAAAACCTATCGCGCTGCGAGATAGGGAGCAAAATTCCACAAGTGTCCTCGAAACATTTTTCTAAGAGAATACTCCTCTTGCCATTTTACTCGCGTAATTTTTGTAAAAAAAAAACATCCCCCATTCGATTCTGCGGAAATTTTGATCATCGCATTCGAGTGGAACGAATATTCGGGAAGCAGCCAGCAATGCCAGACATTTAAATGATTTAATTGTATGAAGTGGGAGAGAGCATTCCATACAGAGGTCCGTCCCTAATGAACACACCCTATTGTTCCGGTTATACGTCCAACGATACTCGCCCGCGAGTACGATCGCCGGGGTGTACAATGTCGAGCGCGGTAAATTGAATCGACCCGGCCGATTGCGATCCGTGTAATTTTCTTGCGCCGGGCTTCCGTGACAGAAGCAACCGAGGGGCAGTCGGGATGCCGGCCTCCCGTTGCGCCAATTAGCGATGCCCGCGACATTACACCACCACCGATGGGAACCCGATGCCATCACCGTTACATTTAATTGCACGCGAAGGCCGCGTCGTGCGTTTTCCCGTGCTTACGCTTTCCGCCTTCCGCCGCCTCCTTCCCTCTCGCTCCCCGCCTTTCTTTCTCCGTCTCCTTCTCGTGATCTCGATACCCTGCCGCGTTCTCGCGCCTCCATTTTCTGAGAAATTGCTCAATTACCTAACATCCAAGCAGCTTCCCACGGCCACTGTGCCGCGCACGCTCGCGTCGCCGCGTGACCTCGGCGCGCATTTAGCGTCTCTTCTCTAAACGAATTTGCATTCCGGTCGCTGCCCAGCATCTGCCGTGCCGTACCGAAGCCATGGATTTTTCATGCCGAGTTAATTCGCCGTTTGTCCCCCGATAAGAGCGAGTATAAATGCAGTACAGCGAGAAACGCAATACGCTCTTTGTAACAATATTGTCGGATCGTGCAATTAAAGTCGAGAATTCTCGCGGTCCAAGGAGAGCGAGGAGGCATTCATGAGCAACGATTTATGGAGGAGAGCGGAAAACCGTTTCTAAAGATGCTAATCGAGAACCAATGTATCAGTCATTGGAACTGCCTTGGTGCTTTAACGGTAATCCAGCGAATTTCCTCGCTTTCAATTTGAGCAGCACAATCGGTCATTGTCAGCAGCGAGGGAACTAATCTCAAAGGCTCCCTGCAAAACAGTGGTCGAGCGAAAAGCGAAACAGAACCGGCGTGCATCGCCTTGCGTGAAACGGCTCGTGTGTTTCGCCGCGCGTGTAGTAAAAGGACAGTTCGTTAAGGTCTTCTGTTCTCCCGAAGGACTGGTTCATTAACGTCGTCCCTCTCTCTCTCTCTCTCTCGATAACTGGCCGCCTCGATTTCTTCGGCCGCGCGCAACCGAGTGAGCGACCGAGCGAAAGATTAAGATGACA